GCCATGCAAGAATACAGATAAGTTTCTAATTGATTATTAGACCTTGAGATAGTTTTCGAATTGCTGTTTTGCTAATCGTTATTGTACTTTAATGTAAATAAATAAAAGTTTGCGTGTTTTCACTTAGCATTTCTGCAGCTGCAAGTTATAAAGTCAGAATTATGTGATATAAACTCACAATTGTGTTACAAAGTCAGAAGAGCTAGATATAAACTTGTAATTTTGACTTTTTTCTACACTCTCAGAAAAAAAGGTACAAAAGCTGTCACTGGGCCGGTACCTTTTCAAAAGGCACACCTTTGTACCTAAACAGTCCGTATTGGTACCTTAAAGGTACATATTAGTACCTAAAGTGTACAAAAGTGTACCTTTTGAAAAGGTACTGCCGCAGTGACAGCTTTTGTACCTTTTTTTCTGAGAGTGTAAGATTGCAAGTTTAAATCACAATTCTGACTTTATAACAATTGTAAGTAATGATGATAATAATAATTTGAAGAAAATGTCAGAATTGTGACTTACTTTTTTCCTCTTTAATTCCGAATGATTAATTCGGAGAAAAAAAAAAAGTGAGAATTGCGAGATATAAACTCGCAACTGTGAGAAAAAAGCTAGAATTGCAGAATAAAAAGTCACAATTACCTTTTTTAATTATTTTTTTATCCCGTGGCAGAAACATACAACCGCATTTCAGTGCCATTATTATGAGATTAAAGTCATAATATTTTGAGAATAAAGTAATAGCATTATGAGATTAAAGTCGTAATATTTTAAGAATAAAGTTTAAGGATTTTGAGAATAAGGTCAAAATTGCGAGAATAAAGTAATACAAGATTTAAGTCATAATATGTTGTGAATAAAGCTGTAATGTTTTGAGAATAAATTATATTGCATAAATAAAGATAATTAATGTGAAAATTACACCTACTCTTCAAACAAAAAAAAGTATTTTTTTATTCTTTCAGAAACTTTCATTCTTCACAGGTGTTTAACATTAAAAACAGTAATACAAATGTTCTAAAGGTTGAAGTTTCATAGATAAGTGATTTTATTAATAAACATATTTGTGACCCTGGACCACAAAACTATAGTCAAGGGTCAATTTTTTTAAATAGAGATGTATACATCATCTGAAAGCTGAATAAATAAGCTCTCCATTGATGTATGGTTTGTTAGGATAGGATAATATTTGGCTGAGATACAACTATTTGAAAATCTGGAATCTGAGGGTGCAAAAAAATCTAAATATTGAGAAAATCATCTTTAAAGTTGTCCAAATGAAGTTCTTAGCAATGCATATTACTAATCAAAAATAAAGTTTTGATATATGTACCGTAGGAAATTTACAAAATATCTTCATGGAACATGATCTTTACTTAATGTCCTAATGATTTTTGGCACAATAATTTTGACCCATACAATGTATTTTTGGCTATTGCTAGAAATATACCCCAGCGACTTAAGACTAAAAGGTTTTGTTGTCCAGGGTCACATTTAAGGTCAGTGAACCGGTTCATTGTGGAGATGGGACATGTTTTGCTTTCACTGCAGGGATCAGATGTCCCCACAACGACACTAAAATCTAAAATCACCTGTGTTGTGAGAATCAGCAAAGTTTACTCATGAGAGAACCGACTTAATAAACCAAGTAAATCAAGTCTTTATGAAAATCTGAAGACGTAGAAAGATTTATGTCATGGTTACGTTGAGGTTTGGGGCGTTAGAAAATATCCTTCGCTCAGCACAAAAAACTGAACAAGTCATCAAGTCATTCTAACAGACTTCACAGACACAACTAAAAACTGATCCTGGATCTGCACGAAACTTCACATCCATGCCTTCTTTGCTTCATGAACTCATGTCAGCATGCTCCGCTCGACCCTGATTGCCGTGGTGACACTCACGCTGTATCTTCTAGGTAGCGCTTGCCTTCAGAACGGCAGCAGGCGTGGAGTTACGGCACGGCTCAAGAAGCTGTTCCTATGCTCTTCTACCAAAACACCATCCACCACTACCCAAAGCAAGTCTTCTTTCAACACAAACCTCCAACACCTTTCCTCTGAGAGCTCTTTTGCTATTAGTGTATTGTCCACATGCTTGTGAAAAAGAAGTGTGCTTAATTGTATTGAATGCACTTGTACTTCAATTTTAAAAAACTGTACTTGCAGGTTATATAATATTAATAATATAATAAAATACCTCTAAAGTGTACTTAAAGATACAGTTCACCAATTTACTGACCTCCGCTTGTTCCAAACCTGTATGAGTCTTTTTTCTGTTGAACACAAAAGAAGGTATTTTAAAGAATGTTGGTCACAGTTGATGCTACTATGGAAGTCAATGGCTACCGTCAACTGTTTGGCAACTTGAGGGTAAATAAAATGATGTCAGAATTTTTTTAGGTGAACTGCCCCTTTAAGAACACTTATAAACAGGGCACTTTGTAATAATGTAAAATTAAAAGTTTTACTTTAAAGTAGATTTTGTGTTATTCAATATTGCATTTAAAGTTAATACATTTTAAGTGTACTAAATTGCACTAAATTGTACAAAAATATTTTATTTCCATAATAAGTATTCTTTTTAAAAATATGCCAAAATGTACTTCTTTTCACAAGTGTGGTGTCAATCCTTTAATTTTTTTTTCTTTAACTATTTAATCTTTGGCCTCTGTATTTCCCTTTCTCTCACTCTTTTCATATTCTTACGTAAGCCAAAGACATCTGTACTCAAGTCTTCCAGCTGCTGAGTATTATGATTTGTCGTCTGAATACCCCCTGCTCTATTCTTGGGAAGGTTATGTTCTTGAAAAGCCAACTTGGAAGAAAAAAAAGATTCTGGGACCAAAACTGCAGCAAATCCTAAATACCAATTGTATTGAATTTTGGAAGTAGGCTAGCAAATGATTAACTGTCATCGTTATTGCTGATTGTTAAAATGCTCTATTTTGTGTTTTAATGAACAACTTTAGATGCCAAAGAATGCTTCTGTTTAAATCCTTATGCATCGTGTTATGAAACAGGGTTGTTTGCATGAAGTGGTAATGATACTACAATTACTCTAATTGCATGTGATCGCTATACTCCCAGAAGGACGAGACGAGAAAATTATGTTCATGTGTGTCAGTTCTGTTTGCCAATCATTTGACGAGTTGTCTTCTGAGGATCAGAGGGTCATATGTCAGCCATTAGTCTTCCACGCTTCAGGTGCCACAGTAATCGTTGTGCCTCCCAATAGCACCCATCACCTTTGATTAATGTTATGAGACTCACTCTACATTTCATTGTTTTATTGGCTTCTGCTCCTCACTCATTATTTTTAAAGATTATTTAGCCTTTAGGGGTGTAAATAATGTGTAAATCTCAGACTCGGGTTATATTGGATGCTATATGATCTAAGTTAATGTAGAGAAACACAGTTGTCCAGAAACACCGTTGTATCTGGGTTCAAATACAGTCTGAAAGCTTATTTAGATTTAAGGCTAATGAGAATGATACACCAAGGCCTGTTAAGATCCTATGGACAGATGGAAAGTCGTAGAACAGATTTGCTCTAGAACCTCATCAGTCTGACAGAAAAGTACAGATTTGCTATGTTCACTGTTTGATGCTGCTTTTATACAGTTTAATAACCAATAAGTTAATATTGAGTAACTTGCATTTCAGACACAATAGATTGCCAGCTACTTTGTGTTTTTGCTTTCCCAAGGAAAATAGTTTCAAACAAAGTGAAAGCATAATGAATTGTTGTGTATCTCTGAGCATTAGTGGTGCTTTGTTCGTGAATTAATCAGTGCGTTTGAACAAATCGGTAGAGTGAATGATTCAATGACTCACTCATACAGGCAGGCAGTCACTTGTTTTGTTAATGAATGAATCAGTGCTTTTGACCAAATGATTCAGTGACTCATTCAGGAATTCACTTGTTTTGTTCATGAATGAATCAGTGTTTTTCATGAAATCGTTTGAGTGAATGATTCAATGACTGACTCGTACAGACATTCGTTTTTTTGTTCATGAATGAATCAGTGTTTTTGAGTAAATCGGTTCAGTGAATGATTCAAGGACTTACTCATACAGGCATTCACTTATTTTGTTAATGAATAAATCAGTGTTCTTGACCAAATCAGTTGAGTGAATAATTCAGTGGCTCACTCATACAGACATTCACTTGTTTTGTTCATGAATGAATCAGTGTTTTTTTAACAAAGTGGTTGAGTGAATGATCGGTGACTGATGCGGTGACTCACTTATAAAGACAGGCTGCATCTGAATATGCATAATTCCCTGCTGTTTAGTAGACAAAAATGTGGTATGTGAAAAGAGCAGAATGTCTGAATTTACAGTATTCATAAAACAGTAGCCAAAAAGTACCAAGATGACCTATTGTTTCTGCTGAGATTTCGAAGATGTGAGGCCATGGGTCCATGGGAGAGGATGAATATGATGAAAGTTGTATATCCAGATTGCATTCACACTACACACATTCATACTATGTACTACATAAATTTTTTAACAGTCACAAAGTACTTATTTAAAAGAAGTACTTAGAGAATATGCCATTTCAGAGAGCAGCCAGTCACTTAGTGAATGCATCAGTGTTTTGGAACAAATGGGTTGAGTGAATGATTCAATGACTTTTCCAAAGACATTCACTTGTTTTTGCTCATGAATGAATCTGTGCTTTTGAACAAATTGGATGAAGTGAATGTTTCAGTGATTTGTGGCCATCTAGTGGTTCATCGATGTAATGGCTTAATTTCTTTCAAAATTGTGTTTTTATGTACTTATGAATTAAAAAAAGGTTTTATATCTCACATAGCTGTACATCTGATATTCCCTGTTGAATACAAAGATCTCAACGTTTATATGTTTTGTCATTAATTGGTCCACTACTTATTTATAATTTATTATAATTTATCAATAATAGAATTTTTGATTAACGCTGTTAATCTGAGTGTGAGCAGCTGGATCGTAACCCTGATGTTGTATGTTTTTCTACAGATAGTGTCGAGGATGAGCTGGAACTGTCTGCTGTACGCCATCGACCAGAAGCTTTGGAGCAGCTGGAGGCTCAAACGCGTTTCTCACGCAAAGAGCTTCAAATCCTCTATCGGGGCTTTAAGAATGTGAGTTAATACTTCTGACTTCAAAAACAGAGTTAAGATTTTTTTTTAGCGTTGGTTTGATGTGGAACATGCCAAACTTTACAGAAAAACTATCACGCTTGCTACAATAATCAGGTCAGGAAAGGTCTCTAGAGTGTCCCTGAGGCATAAATGTCCTTTCTCACCTCTGGTGCACAATGTAATGAGACAACACTGAATTAACTCGACCCAAATTGTCAGGTGACAAGCGTGAGAGTGGCACAATGGTCCTTTATTATCAGACTCTCAAGGGAAGATATCAGAAGACTGAAATCCTTCCTTCAGACCACACACAAACACACACACACACACACCGCTGGCAGGTGATGACTGCACTGAGGTTTTCTGGCACCCTCAATACTGTCTTATTCATTTTCCCATGAGGTGTCCCAGATACTGTAAATGTTAAATCTGTTTTCTTTTTTATTATTTCACTTTTAATATCACCTGCCATTTCTGATTCTTTTGCTTCTTGGATTTTCGACTATCAAGTTCTAAAATCCTTCAAAAGAGATTTAATTAGTAAATCATTGTCAAGGGTGCTGTCCCAAATGCTGCCCTAAACCCTCATGTTCCTCCTCTGACTGCACACTTGATGATGTAGTTGTAGGGCTGAGCAAAAGGGCACATCGAGGGCACGTGTGCTTTCTTCTAAAACCTCAATTATTGAACTGGCCACCCTATGGTCTTGTGCAGTAAATATTACTTTTGTTTGTTCATGTATTTATTGGAGAATAGACAGACAGACAGACTTTTATTACTCCTCAGTTCTCACCATTGCTTTTGTTTTACCAGACAGACAAATATTAAACACTGACTTGACTATAGTTACTGTTAAACTTGTACCTATAAATTCTAGATCTTTATCTTTGCTCATTATGCAAAAAAAAAAAAAAAAATCTAAAACACTGAGGCAGATATCATGCATTTATACATTACGATTCAAAATGTTGTGGTCCGTAGGATCTTTTTTTAGAAGAAATGTATACTTTTATTCAGCAAGGATGCATTAAATTGATCAAAAGTTGCAGCAAAGAGGACATGTTTCAAAAGATTTCTGTTTCGAATAAATGCTGTTCTTTTCAACTTTCTATTCATCACAGAATCCTGAAAAACGTTTCACCGTTTCAACTAAAATATTAAGCAACACAACTGTTTTCATTGATAATAAGAAATGTTTCATCATATTAGCAAATCATCATATTAGAATGATTTATGAAGAATCTAAGTAATTACTGCTGAAAATTCTCCTTTGCCATCACAGGAATAAAATAAATTTTATAGTATTAAAATAGAAATTAGTTATTTTAAATTGTAATAATATTTTACAATATTAAAGTTTTTACTGTATTTTTTATCAAATAAATGCAGCGTTGATAAACATAAGAGACTTCTGTCAAAAACATTAACTTTAAAAAAAAAAAAAATGGGTGATGGTAGCCATTGATTTCCATAGTATGGAAAAATGAACAGCATTTTTTCAGAATATCTTCTTTTTGTGTTCAACAGGTTTGAAACAACTTGAGGATGAGAAAATGACGACAGAATTTTCATTTCTCTTTATTTATTTATGTTTTTACTGATCAGGATTTGACAAGGCATTCATGTAAATAAACAACTATTATGTTTTTAAATGGTAGTTTTTCTTTTCTTTTCTTTTTTTTTCTTCTTATCACGCCAAGGGCACCAGAACTGCTGCCTCAAAAAATTACAACTAAATAAATAAAAAGAAGTGCATTGTTCAGTTCAGACTCTTGATCAGACACAAATTCAAAACCAAATGTGACCCTGGACCACAAAACCAGCCTTAAGTGGCTGGGGTATATTTGTAGCAATAGCCAAAAATACATTGTATATGGGTCTAAATTATTGATTTTTCTTTTATGCTATAACTAATTTTTGATTAGTAATATGCATTGCTAAGAACTTCATTTGGACAACTTTAAAGATGATTTTCTCAATATTTA